TTTCACTCAGATATACGGCACAATAGAGGAGAAAAGAGCGTAACTTTCCTTTCATGCCGACATTAATGTGAGATGAGCAGTGACCTCTGACCCTGATATACATATACACACACACACACACACACACACACCTGACATGAAGGTGAATCCGCTGGGAAGCTGCATGACTCCTCCGGAGGCTCCCGAACTCTTCAGCACGGATCCGTTGGCGTTCCCGGGAGCCAGATAGTTGGTGATGGGGAAAGATGAGCCGCTGCTGGAGGAGCCGGTGCTGCCCGGCACACTGGCCACGGTGAAGGCCGGCTTCAGAGAATCCTGCGGGATCGTCAGGAGACACCGTTAACACTGGAGCGGGAAGAGCTGGAGTCACATGACACTGGTTCACTAGCTCATCTTTCTGACGTGTGTTCTTGTTATTATCACTTCATTTTAATACATGTTTCTTCTCCAGTAAATGTGTGACTGATGAATGACGTCATGCGTGTGACTGATGAATGACGTCGTGCGTGTGACTGATGAATGACGTCGTGCGTGTGACTGATGAATGATGTCGTGTGTGTGACTGATGAATGATGTCGTGTGTGTGACTGATGAATGACGTCGTGCGTGTGACTGATGAATGATGTCGTGCGTGTGACTGATGAATGATGTCGTGCGTGTGACTGATGAATGATGTCGTGCGTGTGACTGATGAATGATGTCGTGTGTGTGACTGATGAATGACGTCGTGCGTGTGACTGATGAATGACGTCGTGCGTGTGACTGATGAATGATGTCGTGCGTGTGACTGATGAATGATGTCGTGCGTGTGACTGATGAATGACGTCGTGCGTGTGACTGATGAATGACGTCGTGCGTGTGACTGATGAATGATGTCGTGCGTGTGACTGATGAATGATGTCGTGCGTGTGACTGATGAATGATGTCGTGCGTGTGACTGATGAATGATGTCGTGCGTGTGACTGATGAATGATGTCGTGCGTGTGACTGATGAATGATGTCGTGCGTGTGACTGATGAATGATGTCGTGCGTGTGACTGATGAATGACGTCGTGCGTGTGACTGATGAATGACGTCGTGCGTGTGACTGATGAATGACGTCGTGCGTGTGACTGATGAATGACGTCGTGCGTGTGACTGATGAATGATGTCGTGCGTGTGACTGATGAATGATGTCGTGCGTGTGACTGATGAATGATGTCGTGCGTGTGACTGATGAATGATGTCATGCGTGTGACTGATGAATGATGTCGTGCGTGTGACTGATGAATGACGTCGTGCGTGTGACTGATGAATGATGTCGTGCGTGTGACTGATGAATGATGTCGTGCGTGTGACTGATGAATGACGTCGTGCGTGTGACTGATGAATGATGTCGTGTGTGTGACTGATGAATGATGTCGTGCGTGTGACTGATGAATGACGTCGTGCGTGTGACTGATGAATGACGTCGTGCGTGTGACTGATGAATGACGTCGTGCGTGTGACTGATGAATGATGTCGTGCGTGTGACTGATGAATGATGTCGTGCGTGTGACTGATGAATGATGTCGTGCGTGTGACTGATGAATGATGTCATGCGTGTGACTGATGAATGATGTCGTGCGTGTGACTGATGAATGATGTCGTGCGTGTGACTGATGAATGATGTCGTGCGTGTGACTGATGAATGATGTCGTGCGTGTGACTGATGAATGATGTCATGCGTGTGACTGATGAATGATGTCGTGCGTGTGACTGATGAATGATGTCGTGCGTGTGACTGATGAATGACGTCGTGCGTGTGACTGATGAATGATGTCGTGCGTGTGACTGATGAATGATGTCGTGCGTGTGACTGATGAATGATGTCATGCGTGTGACTGATGAATGATGTCGTGCGTGTGACTGATGAATGATGTCGTGCGTGTGACTGATGAATGACGTCGTGCGTGTGACTGATGAATGACGTCGTGCGTGTGACTGATGAATGATGTCGTGCGTGTGACTGATGAATGATGTCGTGCGTGTGACTGATGAATGACGTCGTGCGTGTGACTGATGAATGATGTCGTGCGTGTGACTGATGAATGATGTCGTGCGTGTGACTGATGAATGACGTCGTGCGTGTGACTGATGAATGATGTCGTGCGTGTGACTGATGAATGATGTCGTGCGTGTGACTGATGAATGATGTCGTGCGTGTGACTGATGAATGATGTCGTGCGTGTGACTGATGAATGATGTCGTGCGTGTGACTGATGAATGATGTCGTGCGTGTGACTGATGAATGATGTCGTGCGTGTGACTGATGAATGATGTCGTGCGTGTGACTGATGAATGATGTCGTGCGTGTGACTGATGAATGATGTCGTGCGTGTGACTGATGAATGACGTCGTGCGTGTGACTGATGAATGATGTCGTGTGTGTGACTGATGAATGATGTCGTGCGTGTGACTGATGAATGATGTCGTGCGTGTGACTGATGAATGATGTCGTGCGTGTGACTGATGAATGATGTCGTGCGTGTGACTGATGAATGATGTCGTGCGTGTGACTGATGAATGATGTCGTGCGTGTGACTGATGAATGATGTCGTGCGTGTGACTGATGAATGATGTCGTGCGTGTGACTGATGAATGATGTCATGCGTGTGACTGATGAATGATGTCGTGCGTGTGACTGATGAATGATGTCGTGCGTGTGACTGATGAATGATGTCATGCGTGTGACTGATGAATGATGTCGTGCGTGTGACTGATGAATGATGTCGTGCGTGTGACTGATGAATGATGTCGTGCGTGTGACTGATGAATGATGTCGTGCGTGTGACTGATGAATGATGTCGTGCGTGTGACTGATGAATGATGTCGTGCGTGTGACTGATGAATGATGTCGTGCGTGTGACTGATGAATGATGTCGTGCGTGTGACTGATGAATGATGTCGTGCGTGTGACTGATGAATGATGTCATGCGTGTGACTGATGAATGATGTCGTGCGTGTGACTGATGAATGATGTCGTGCGTGTGACTGATGAATGATGTCGTGTGTGTGACTGATGAATGATGTCGTGTGTGTGACTGATGAATGATGTCGTGCGTGTGACTGATGAATGATGTCGTGCGTGTGACTGATGAATGATGTCGTGCGTGTGACTGATGAATGATGTCGTGTGTGTGACTGATGAATGATGTCGTGCGTGTGACTGATGAATGATGTCGTGCGTGTGACTGATGAATGATGTCGTGCGTGTGACTGATGAATGATGTCGTGCGTGTGACTGATGAATGATGTCGTGCGTGTGACTGATGAATGATGTCGTGCGTGTGACTGATGAATGATGTCGTGCGTGTGACTGATGAATGATGTCGTGCGTGTGACTGATGAATGATGTCGTGCGTGTGACTGATGAATGATGTCGTGCGTGTGACTGATGAATGATGTCGTGCGTGTGACTGATGAATGATGTCGTGCGTGTGACTGATGAATGATGTCATGCGTGTGACTATCACTGATCCATTAATCGAACTTTCACAGTGCAGTTCTGCCTTGACATGTTCTCATTTGGTTACATTCTGTTATGGAATATTTGTTTTTATTGATTGTATATTTTGAGTTTTATTCACATCATTATGCAGGTACAATGCAAGTTTATATTTTGCTTCCTAAAATGTATTTACACAATTGAAAATGGAAAATAGTGCCCTGTTGAAGTTTTGCTACATTGTCTTTATTGTTTTATTTATTTGTATTTATTCTTTAAGGAGATGCACTGAATTTTGGTGAATAAGAGGACCTGTTTTATTGTGATGCACATATTTGTACATTAGCAGGAATGCAGCACAATATGGATGTGAAAGCTGTTGTAATTAGCCTATATGACACAATAACATTTGTTTTGGTTAAAATCAACAAATAATCGTGATCTCAATATTGATCAAAATAATCGTGATTATCATTTTGGCCATAATAGTGTAGCCCTAATATCAGGCCTGTGTGAACAAACAATGTATTTAACTAATGTTCATATAAAAAAATAATAAATACTGTAGATGATGATTGAATTACATGACACAAACTAATGGAAGCGCACGGTTCAGAGTTTATTGTGTATAACATTAACAGCGCTGACTCACTGAACATTATTCTGCACATATATATTGATTATAGTTATTAAACAGCTCCGACAACAAGAGCTGCTTCTACAGCAAATCCTCCCGTTCGGATAAAGTTTAATGTGCTCATCTTTTTTTGTGACTGGTTACCATGACAACCGCTCTCAACAGCAACCAGATCCCTCATGAGCTGCACATATTCTAATATCATATCCAGCATTTGTATTACTCGAATCTGTATTTCAGTTTTCATCTGATGTAGAGGAACAGCGACTGCAGATATGACCACACACACACACACACACACACACACACACTCTAGGGCTGGGCGATATGGCTGAAAACTGTATCACGATATCAGTGTTTCATATCGGTCGATATCAATAATTATTTATTTTTTTATGACCCATTTAAAATAAGGACCAGGAGAAAAAATATATTACATTTAAACATTTTTATTTTAAACTTACCCTTCCTCTGATTACAATCCCAAGACAGAAATGTCAACATAACCATGGAAAACTCAAATAATTAGAATGTAAACATAAGTCTAAATTCACAATCAGACCTGCAAACTCCTCAGAGTAAAAAAGGTGACAGTGGCGCGGCGGGACGTGGGTGGTGGGGGTTGTGATCGTATGTGCCCCCTGCTTGATTTCTTTTTTTAGACATCACGGTTCGGTACGATTTCGGTACAATGGAGTAAAAAGCAAAACAGAAATATATTAGGCATTTTTATAAATGTCTTAAGCCTTGTATTTTTTAAATAAGTTTTATTAATAAAGGCATAGAACCAGTTTATTTATAGTGCACTGATAATAGTTTTATATAATTGGTTTATTAATTAAACTAATAAAAAGATAGATATGAGATATGTTTGGCAATTGTACCTGAATGAATTTAAAATTAATTTGCTATATTTCAGATCAATATATTTGTTTTCCTTAATTTTAATTAACCCTAACTTTATTCTCACCAGAATTATAAATAATTGATTTCCGTATAAAATAATCTACCAACATATTTCACTTTCTTTTTTAATCAATGTGTAACTTAAAAATAAACAGATTAGTGCTCTGTTTTGAGGACAAGAAATGAAAACCAATGCGATATGATGAATGTCCAAAAGATGGAACACACAGACTGTTTTAAAAAGGGTTGGCTAAATATGTTTTGCTTTTAAAACGGTGTGTGACAGTTGTAGGTTACAGTTTGACA